TCAGGAGTTAGTTAGCCGGCAGCAGGGTTCCCAGAGGCGCAGACAGGAGCAGGGAAACCCAGCAGGGGAGGGGGGCAGAGCTGGCGGGAGCTGTCCGGCTTCATCTGGAGACTGGTGTCCAGATCCCCCACCCGTGGGAGGCCGGAGGAGCCCAGATGAGCCCTGTCCCCTGGCCCCTCAGGAGAGGCTGGACGTTCACTCTCTGCACAGTTGCTTTGATCTGTTTCTCTGGGCTGTGCTTGCCACCTCTGGTTTCCTAGTAAATGATGGGGCAAGTCGGCTCCCGGGTGGCCCTGCTCCCAGGAGAAGCAGGTCAGGGATGCCGGGCAGGCTCCTTGGGGAGGGCAGGCTTGGACTGCAGCAGAGCCCTGAGCGGGGCCCTCCCACCCCCCCTCCATCCTAGGGTAAGTCATGGAATCACTCCTGAACCTCGGTTCCTTTCTCTTCTTTCAATTGCCAGAGGGCGCATGTGCAAGAGAGAGCCCCCACACACACACACCCCAAGGGCCCCATTATGCCACAGTTCCTTCTCCTCCATTTCTCCACTCTATCTGGATTCGGGGTGCACTTCTCAAGCCGCTGGGACTGGGAACCCAAACTGCCTTGGCCATGTGGGATCCCTACCCCTTATCCGCTAGGTTACGGGACCAGCCCCCTTTATCTTTTAGACGGGCTGTACTTGTAGCTCACTGGTTGGCAGAAAGACCAAGGAGGTGCCACGTGCCTGTCTGACACCTGTGTCCTTGCGGACGGAGCCTCCGTGGCTGTAGCTGCTGTTATTCCGGTGGTCGACGCTGCTCCTGGGCAAGCCTCGGGGTAGGGCCTCACACCCCGAAGGCAGGAGGGCCATGGAGGGCCTGCCATGGAGCAGCGAAGGCTCATTAGATGCCTCTCCTGTGAGCAAGGAGGTGTGTGCTGGGAGATCTGGGGTGAGCGCTTCCTCAGGCTGCGACACTCCAGGGAGGAATAGGTCTCCAAGATGGTGGAAGACGACACCGAGGGTCAGAGGAGAGGCCCTGAGAGGCCGGACTGACCAGGCTGGGGCCTCTCTCAGAGTCCCAACACCCACCACAAAAAGCAATGTTTGGTGAGAAAGGATGTTGCCAGGTTTGGGACCTGGATTGGCATGTGGGGAAGCCGAGGAGGGCTCTGAATGTAAAGTATGAGGCGGCAGGGATGGGGTGGCAGGTCTCGGGAGCTCACGAGGAGGGGAAATCTGAAGAGCCGTGAGCTAGAGCAACGGGATTCTGCTCTAGAGAGTGCTCGGTAGAACAGGGCTCTGGTTAGCTGGGGGTGGGGTGCAAATGAGACCCTGGGGCCTGGCCCTCCTCCCTACACCCTCCCCCAGCCAGACCCATGCAGCCTAGGCCCTCCCACGTGGCGCTCCCTCCAGCCCTCTGGGATGAGCTTGTCCAGGTGTGTCCTTGCTGCGTGCACTCCTACCCCGGCTAAGCTGCTGACGCCGTCCTTGGTGCTGCTCCTGTCACCACCAGCATCCCTCTCACGGGCGGATCTGTTTTTATTCTAGTCTGCCTGTGACTTCTCGAACCATAGGAACAAGCTT